TAACCACCATCAGTAGGAATCGAATGTTTTTTGAATATTTCAAATCGGGTGATTTGTGCGACCGAAATCGTACCCGAAAAATTGTATCCACACAATACATACACACACATCACATCAATTTTTTTCTAAGGTATGCCAAAATGTTCAGGAACCACTGAAACGTGAAGATATGCGAAAATTTTCAATTTCGATATATGCACAATTGCCTACTATAACTTACCCTACGGGAAGTAATTATAATATATATTTTATATGATCGAATTGTATTTCTGTTTTTATGGATAATTTCAATAACTTTTGCCGAATAAAAACCACGGCACGGAAGAGAATTTAGAGCCAGCGAAGTTTTCAACTAAGTTTTTTGCAAAATTCTTTTATAGTAAATTATATTATATTTTCTTAAATTGACGAGTTGATTCATTTACTTCTCTGCCACAAATCGCGCTATAATTCTTATAAAACGCTTTATTAACTTCCCGTAGGGTAAGTTATTGTAATGGGCCGAAAATCGGAATTGAAAATTTTTATATTTCTCGACGTTTTGAAGGTTTCTGAACGTTTTGGCATACCTCAGAAAAAATGGATGTGTGTGTGTGTATGTGTGTGTGTGTGTATGTATGTATGGATACAAATTTCCAGTCACGTTTTAGGGCGCACGGATCAACCGATATGAATGGTTCAAAAAACATTCGATTCCTATTGATAGGGAAAAGAGCTGATTAGTTTTTGACAAAGGTAGGTCCAGCCGTTTCGGAGATACGGAGCAAAAATTTTGTCCCAACTTTTTTTTTTTTTTTTTTTAGTTTTTTGTATATCAAAAATATTTCAGATTTTATTTTTAATTCTGACTATAGTTCTAATATACTTCATAAATAATTTCAACTCTGCAATTCAGTTTATATAATTCTTATAAATATTAGACAATGCTACAATATTTATAATAATCTATTTGAAAACATTCAGTATTCTTCGAACATTTCGTTACGGTACGGGAAGTTCCAGCAATTTGCCTTAAGACACGATGCCATAATTGCCTCAAGACAGAATTCCACTTACAGCTAGTTAATACACTAATTTTATATCTTGGCTGGTTTTTTAACTGTTTTCGCTAACTAGGGAAAATATTTTACAATTCAATAAAAATATTTTCTAGCAAGCGTTTATAATATAATTAAAATTAAGATAATTGTAATATAAATTTACATTCATCGAGGCGGGTCAATTTGTATGGAGCCTCGACTTTGTTTCCATAGGTAATTTCAAGAAACTTTGCCGAAGAAACCATAGCTGTGAGGTGAGTTTCAAGCCAGCGAAATTTTTAATAAAGCTTTCCTTATAAGATTTATAACCTTGTACCACGCATGGTTTGAAAGTTTATAGCAAAGACAAAGCCCTGAAAATATTATAGTCACGTGAGAATATTATTGACTGAGCTTTGCAATTATTTTTGCTGCTGTTGAAAATATTATTGAACTATTGGCAAGAGTTTTGAGGTAAAATACTAAATAGATATTTCAGTTAATTCTTATACATATTCAATTAAATTATCAAAAACTACATGCAATGTCATGAAAATTAGGATTACATATAATGTTGTTCCACTCATGTGACTATGCTATTATATTACAATAAACAACAATTTTGTTTAAAAAGAGTAAGATATTTCATTTTAGTACCTATAAGAATGTGATTCTTTTGTAAAGGACTGGTTTGTATTTATAAATTTTGATCATAATCAAATTTAATGCGACGTTAAATTATTTACTGATAAATATACAGTAAAGTTACTGATGTGTATTAATGTGTAATATATGATAAAAACAGTTTTTGTGCTGAGAAAACAAGAATTTATAACACACAAATACAAAAACATATAAAAAACAACAATTTAATAGTAAACAATTACATAACATACATGTATGTTTTTATCTACACTAGGAGAAGTTATGAGTCTATTCCACAGTAATTTACCTAGCTTAACCTCGATATTGGAGTGCCTCAAGGAAGTGGTTTAGGGTCAAATTTAATTTTATATTTCAACTATTGGTATTGAATACTGATATTGTTACTACTAACGTAATTAATACCTACTAATGTTTGATTGAATGATACCTTTGAATGATACTAATGAAATTTTATGTATAAATTTTTCAATTAAAAACAGCTATATCAAATTCCATTAAGATATTTTCTTAAAAAGTGTTACTACGTATTTATCGCAAAACAACAAAACAAATGTATATGAGTAAGCAGCGATATGATGTTCTCACAGTGCAACCAGATATCTTGGAAGCAAAAACAATCTTAAAAGAAATATAATATGCCTGTACAATTAATATCGCATACAATTGAATAAAGGATACATAAACATGCTGCATTTGATATACACGTGTATACTTATGCGGAACGTGTACGATAGTGGAAACATGTAAACATTGTTTTTTAATGAGGTCACTACCTGAGAATCTTTAGTTTCATTCGATCATATTTTTTTAATCCTAATATTTATTGGAAATTTTTAAAAGAGGTTTCTGAACATTTAGGCAAAACTTAAAAAAAAATTATGTATGCGCGAGCGCGAGTGTGTTTGAGTGTGTGTGTGTATTTGGATACAAATTTTCGTTGGCGATTTCGGGAATACGGATCAACCGATTTGAATATTTCAGAAAACATTCGATTCGTATTGATAAGGAGACGTGCTGATTAGTTTTTGATTAAGGCAGGTCCAGCCGTTCAAAAAGGTCAAAAAGAAGTTCAACATTTCCGAAATATTAAATTAATTAAATTAATTAAAATTAATATCGCATACAATTGAATAAAGGATACATAAACATGCTGCATTTGATATACACGTGTATACTTATGCGGAACGTGTACGATAGTGGAAACATGTAAACATTGTTTTTTAATGAGGTCACTACCTGAGAATCTTTAGTTTCATTCGATCATATTTTTTTAATCCTAATATTTATTGGAAATTTTTAAAAGAGGTTTCTGAACATTAAGGCAAAACTTAAAAAAAAATTATGTATGCGCGAGCGCGAGTGTGTTTGAGTGTGTGTGTGTATTTGGATACAAATTTTCGTTGGCGATTTCGGGAATACGGATCAACCGATTTGAATATTTCAGAAAACATTCGATTCGTATTGATAAGGAGACGTGCTGATTAGTTTTTGATTAAGGCAGGTCCAGCCGTTCAAAAAGGTCAAAAAGAAGTTCAACATTTCCGAAATATTTAGAAATATAACATAAATTCAAATCTTTCAAAAGTCAATTTTTACAAAAATTTAAAAATTCTAAAAAATCTAATTTTTTTAAAGTTATAAAAAGAATCTTCTTTAAAAATTTTAATTTCCGGTGCGGGAAGTTCTTGAAATTTGCTTTAAGGCACGATGCCATGCACCACTATTTGGGCATTTTCAATGTGATTTTTGAGAAGCTAAATGTAACTAGTTTTAAGAAGCATTTTGCCTTAAGACAAGTTGCATGAACTTCGCGATACGTATACATAATCAATCTAATCCACAAGAATTGAGATTCAGATATTTAGGTAAAATGTTCAACTGTTTATTTTGAAAATAATATTTTTGCTTTCACTATTCCATTTCCAATGAATGCCCCTGAAACAAACTTATAAATATGCGTAAGTAAGTAAATCAATTATCATTTTGTGTTATAAAAAAGTGCTTTTGAGAATGGACGACAACTATAATCAGTAGCTATCTACGAAACACGAAACGTACGTATGCTTCGACATAAATTCTGATTAGAATGGGTTAAGCCCGCCGCTCAATTTCAAACTTTGATGACTTTTTATAATTTAACAGCTTACCTATAAAGCCTATTATATTTTAATATGTTATTTCAGGCTACGAAATTATAGTTATACAAAGTTTGATAAAAATCGTAAAAAAAATTCTATTCATTCATTAACTAAAATACGACCCTTCCTATCTTTACCAAAAACTAATAAACGCGATACCCAACTAATAATTTTATTCGAATATTTATGGTTTTTTAAAATCGATTGTGTAGGAACGAATTTACATTTTAATGCCTATTACAAAGAAATGGCTTGGCCGATCGTCACACAAAACTGATCAAAGCTATATATATTCTTTATCGATTTACATCGAATGACCTTTGAAATTTTGAAATCAGTCTACCCGTTTTTTGGAAAACCTCGACGAAGGGTCAAAAATCATATCACATACATACATGCACACACATTTTTTTCTCAAGTTTGGTTTCATTGGATTCAGAATAACTTGAAACGTCGAGAAAATGTAAAATTAGCAAATCGATTTTTTTTGCTGAAACAAAGTTCTCTTCGGGATGTTATATATATTTAGACTCTGCAATTGATACTTTATTTATACAAAAATATAATTGTTAAAAGAAGTAAGCCTTATAGACCCAATAGTTCAGTCATTAGACACTAATATATATTTTTTATTTTTATGATTATAATCTTTGTTTTCTTATTTAAAAAAAAATGTATTTATTGTTATAACTTTGCCGATCCCAATTCCTTCCAAGCCAATACTTAGAAACTAGAAAATATAAATGTCTATAGAATAATATAGATAAATATTTATTAAAGAAACTTCCAATTTTTATTATAAACTATATTAAATAGTGAGTAAGATAAAAGTAATTTATTGTTAACTAACAACAGGATAAAAGACGACTAATATTTTTTGGTAGAATGCTTTACATTTTACTTCAAGATTTTTGTGAAGCAACAATTGATAAAAATGTAGGTTTCAGACAAGAAGCGAAATTTTCATATTTTTCTCTCTCGAGAAGATCAAAATGGTAGACAAACCATAAATAATTTAAACCATGAACAATTACCCGATGTATTGACAGAACTAGTTAGAAAAGTTTAGATACAACTCCTTTGACTTTAAAAATGATTGGCCAACCCCATTCTGGCAGGCTAATTTAGAAACACCACCAATTCCTTGAAAAAATAAACTAATTAATTTTTTTTCCAGAGCAAGCAGTAAAAGTGGCACGCCGCAAAAAATCGACATCAGATCCACCGCCCATCGTCATACCTCCAATATCGAACATCAAAACTTTATCACCCGCCAGTCCTTTATCCAGGGCGACTCCTTCGGCGAGTCCTCCTGCAGATTCCTTTGATAGTGGAGGTGCCACGGAATCTGAAGATCCTGGTTCTTTGTCTGCGACAGAAGCAGCCAGAAGGAAAAAGAAAGCCAGGACTACTTTTACTGGTCGGCAGATTTTCGAACTGGAAAAGCAGTTCGAGGTGAAGAAGTACCTGTCCAGTGGGGAAAGGGCTGATATGGCGCGGTTGTTGAATGTTACGGAGACACAGGTCAGTGATGTAGTTGTAATGTTTTTGAAATTATTTAGGGGGACTTGAATTTATGGAGTTGTATGATTGATTTAATGACAAATATAATTTGGATAAAAAGTATCGTTTTTTTGTGCCAGATATTAATCAAATCTGGTGCACACATATAAATCCGATGACAATACTCATGCCATTCTATATATAAAAATGGATGAATGTCTTTTTGTGTGTATGTGCATGTGTAATTGTTATTCATTCATAAACTATGCGTCCGATCGTCGTGTAAATTTGGGAAATTGTTAGGTAAATCCGCGGTCAGGTTTTCGGATATTTTGATTTAAGCAAAGCGATAGGTGTTGGCCGCTCAGAAGACATTTTTTTAAATTTCTTTTGGCCAATTTTTATTTTTTAATTTTTTATAATCGTTTAGCAAAAGCACATATAACCCTACATTTTCAATGTTCTACCACAAACCTCTATTTTGTGAGAATTATTTACAAGATTTAATAGTAATTATGTCCTTTTTCTAAACCACACGTACGATCGCCATATAAAATTGGGAAATTGTTAGGTAAATCCTCGGTCAGGTTTTCAGGTATTTTGATTTAAGCCAAGTGATAGGGGTTTGCAGACCTATAGTTTTTTTTTAACATTTATTCACATATTGTTTGATATTTGATATTGTTTGATTGATAAATAGGTTGACAGGATAATTGGTAGACGTGTGGAACTGGATGACAGGCACATTGGCAAACGGGTAATTTGGTTGACCGGTTAAATGGTGGATTGATAAACAGGTTGATGGGTAAATTGTTGAACAGTTAAATTGTTGAACAGGTAAATTGGTGGACAGGTAAATTTGTGGACTGATAAACAGGTTGACAGGTATATTGGTGAAATGTTATACTAGTGAACAGGTAAACTGGTTAGCAGGTAAACTGGTGCACAGGTAAATAGATAAAGAGTTACATAGATAAACAGGTAGATAGATAGATACGTCGACTAATGAACGTATACAGGTAATTTGGTAGATCGCTAAACTGGTGGACGGGTAAACTGGAGGATATATAAAATGGTAGACAGGACAACTGGTAGATAGACAAATATGTAGACAGATAAACCTGCGTGTAAATTTGTAGACATTTAAAACGGATTGGCAGGTATAGTGGTAGGCAAGTAGAATGATGGATTGATAAACAGGTTGATAAGTAAATTGGTAGACAGGTAAATTGATAGACATGTAAATTGCTGTACAGGCAAATGGGTTGACAAATAAATTGGTAGGCCGGTAGAATGGTGGATTGATGAATAATTCAATAGGTAAATTGTTAGACAGGTAAATTGATAGGCAGTTAAGGAGGGTTTGGTGGTATATTGGCAGATAAAAGGGTTGGCAGGTATACTGGTGGACAGGTGAATTAGTGGATAGGACTAAATGTATCAAATATGCATTATTGTTCAAATTTTTAATTGAAAGTAAAATACGGCCAAGTGTGAATGGGTACAGCTAGTTTATTATAAAAATAATACGAAAACTGTGCAATATATACTGAATAAAAAAATCGAATTGATCAAGAATAAAATTGATCAATCATCAAGTCAAATCGATATCTTCCTTTAATTATCATTGACAAATTTATCCGATATTAATTTTGCGATTAAATTCGTGATGTTAAACGCATTTCTGCATTTTATTATCAATTGTCAACACATTAGCAAAATATATACAATCGGTACAGTATTCATTTATTGTTATGTTTTTAAATAATTTAAGTGTCTGACTGTAGAGATAATATATTGTTTTAAAGTATATCACTTATTCGATTGTTGTTTAGAATGCTGTAGTCATGAACGAAGAATGACGCAAATTTTATTTCAAAATAAAATCTTAGATAGCCATTTACGACAATGTATACAAATGACAGAGATGATGTTCTAATTATAATCGAATGATAATAATTAAATTGCGACATAATGAATTAATAATCAAGCGTTTTGATTTGATAAAATCTGAATGTTTTTGTTTTTGCTTCTGTATTTTACAACTACAGTAGTACTAGTGATGTTTCGATACTAAAAGGTATACAATGAATTACTCAAATTTTAAGAACTTAAAGTAATAGTAATTAGTATTAGAAAAATGTCCGAAAAAAAATTGTAAACCTATAGATATATCGGATTTCTATAGAGTAATGGTTTAACTCATATCGTTCAGCAGCGATGTTTATTTTCACTTGAAAATACAGATCAAAAATGTGTTTTCAATCGAAAATAGACAATTTTCGTGCACTGCGATGTGAAATGGCAATGGGAAACCTCTCAGGCAAATTTTCCCTGAATCGAGTTGGAGTTTAACTCAGCTCACGGACCTGCCCAAGTCAGTACTATCCATTATTATTATAGTCCTAAAAGTCCTAAGGAACTTTTAGCATCTAGTTTTTGAGCATTTTGAGTCTTAAAGGAACCGGTAAGTGATGAATTTAATGAACCTCAATAAAACCTTATAATAACTTTTTGTATTACAATATTATGATTTAAAATTTAAAATGTAAAATAATGAAATAAATTGATTATAACAAAATTCAAAAATTCTTTATATTTGGATTAGAATAAAACTAGTAATACTTGACACTGTGCTTTAAGAAAAATGCTCCTATTTTCCATTAAACTGAAGAAATTAGAGTAAAATAAATATAATTTAAAAACAAATTGCAATAAGATCAGTAGGAATCTTCAAAATGCAGTAAATACTATTTTGGAAGAAAATAATGTTCTAATATTTGAAACTTTAGAATCTTATTGACTTTACTCAAAGGGCTTTTTTTAAGAGGCATGATAATTATTTTTCACAAATAATGTGGTTAAAAGCTGAATGAAAGAGTAGCAATTTTACTAACTACAGAAATGTAGCTTGCTAATTTAATGTTTTCTGGATGTTTCAAGTCGTTCTGAATCGTTGGGGACCAAAACTGGTAAACTTGGCGATGGAGATAATGGTCTAAAATCTAACGTCCTATGAAAATTAGTTGAATTTTAACAAATCACGCTTTTAGGACATACAAGACTGCGTTTATGGACTATAATAAATATAAATACGTATATTACAAGTTTGTGTTAAAGACATCAACTGGAAATCGCACTGATTAGTGTCTCGTTAAAGCTACAATTTTAGTTTGAAAATAAAGAGCTTAAATTTTTAATTAAACCGCTAAATCCCAATTGTCATTAAGTCGATTATTTGAACATTTCGAAGAAAACAACAATATAAATACTGTGCAATTCAAACGCAATATAGAGCTTTACACATAAATGAGACTTCTTTCATTTATTTATGGATTTTCTTGTGTCCCGGGTTTTTGTAAAAGCAATCTTTATCTCGGATTTAGATTTTTTGTCCCGATTTGTCCAGTTCTTTTTTAAATTAATAAGTAAATTAAAAAAATGATGAAAACTAGTGCCGTTTGCCAAATAGTGCCATTTTTTTTTGTTATGTATGTATATATGTAAAATTTTGTCGACGATTTCGAAATTCATGGATTGTGTGATTCAAAAAACATTCCTATTGATGAAGAGTCGTCCTTGGTTTTTTTGCAAAGGCAGGTCCAGCTGTTATGAAGATACGGTGCAAAAAGTGCCAAAAGTGGTAATCCAATTTTTGAGAGAACGGAGCGTCCGTTTTGACTGTTTCAACAAATTTTATTTGTAATAAAATGCTAGCGGTTTCGGGGATATAATAATAAAGGTAAAAAAAGCCATTTGACGGACAAAGTGTTTATTCTACATATACACATCCAATTATCACATATTTTATAGATATTTTAAATATTAAAAACAAATTTTATTTATATTTCTAAGGGTTCCGTACCAATGTTTATCCGTTGGTGATGCGGCGCTCACGCGCTTTGATATTTTGTTTCTACGCAGCTAACTTATCGCACAATTACTTTGAAAAAAAAAAGTTAAAAATTTCCAAAATTTTTCAAAGTATAAATAAATTTATATTTTTCAAAAAGGTCATTTTGTTTCAAAAATTTTAAAAATGGCTAAAATTTTTTTTTCAATGTTCTAAAAAAAGATTTGAAACTTTTTTTTATTTTAATTTTTAACTTCCCGTAGGGTAAGTTATAGTAATTGCAAAAAAATCGAAAATGAAATTTTTTATATATCTTTACGTTTCAAAGGTTTCTGAATATTTTGGCATACCTTTGAAAAAATGGATGTATGTGTGTATGCGTATGTGTGTGTGTGCGCGTGTGTGTGTGCGGATACAAATTTTCGTCGACGATTTCGGGAACACCGATCAACCGATTTAAATAAATCAAAGATCATTTGACTTGTATTGATAAGGAGACGTGCTGATTAGTTTTTGGCAAAGGCAGGTTTAGCCGTTCCGAAGATACGGGGCAAAAAGTGCCCAAAACGGTAACTCAGTTTTAAAGAGAACGGAGCGTCCGATTTTAATAAAGACCGGTCTAGCGGTTTTGGAGATCTAATGAAAAAAGTAAAAAAATGCCATTTGGCGGTCAAAAATGATCATTAGACATATGCACATCAAATTATCAAATATTTTATAGAGATTTTAACAATAAGTATGAATTTTGTTTACATTTCTATGGGTTCCGTACCAATGTTTACGCGTTAGACGGCGACGCGGCGCTTACGCGCTTTGATATTTCGTCTGTATGCAGTTAAAACAGTACGATTGCTTTGAAAAACAGTTCATAATTTCCAAAATATGTCAAAATAAAGAAAACATTTTTTTTAAAGTAATTTTTTGTCAAATTCATAGTTTCTCAAAAATCTAATTTTTTTGAAGCAAATTTTTTTCAAAAATGTTAGTTAAAAAGAATAATAAATATGTTAGTTAAAAAGAATAATAATATTTGGTACGGAAAGTTCCAGCAATTTGCCTTAAGGCTAGATGCCATGCGCCCCACTAGTTAATTTCAATTTTTGGTACGGAAACTTGCAGCAATTTGCCTTAAGGCACGATGCCATGCACCACTATTTACTTTGATAAT